TTGATGATTTATCATTCTTTTCTGCAGGACTATGAACAGGATCAAATTGGGCCTTAAGCCCAATATGAATTAAAGGAATTATAGATGATGATGATAATAACAGCTATAATTGAACATTCACTATGTCGTAGGCACACCATTGTATTTCATGCCTGGGTTCCATCCCCAGAGAGTCTGATTTAATTGGTCTGGGTTGAAGCCCAGGCAGGCATACCTTTTAAAAGCATCTAGATGGGCTGGGCTGGTGTGGCTCAGTGGTGCATGCACCAAGAGGTCACCAGTTTGATTCTGGTCAAGGGCACATGCCTGGGTTGCGGGCTTGATTCCCAGTGTGGGGTGTGCAGGAGGCAGACGATCAATGATTCTCTCTCTTCATTGATGTTTCTCTCTCTCTCTTTCTCTCCTTTCCTCTCTGAAATCAATAAAAATATATTTTAAAATAAATAAATAAAATACTCACCTTACCACACTCACTTGAATTAGGAATGGCCATGTGACCCAATTCTGGCCAATAATATGCAGATTGAAGTTGCTGGGTGGGGGGCTCCCAGGAAAACTTTTTAAAGGGGAGAGTCTAGTTGGCATTGGCCTTATTCTTTTTCTCTTCCTTTATTTTCCCCCTTGACATGCAGACTCAATGACCAAGCATTCATCTTGCATCCACGAACACAAGAGCCACATGCTAAAGATAGCAAAGTAGGAAGACAAGAATGACCATAGGTCCTTGACAACATTAGGGAGCCACCTACCTGCTGGTGTTTTATGTAAAAACAATAATCATTTAAAGAAATAGACAAAAAGTCTATTTGGTTAATTCACTGTAATCAAGTTTCTGTTCATACAGTCAAACACAACCTTAATTAATAGACTGTTAAAACGTTTAATGTGCTATTATAGAAAACTAGAGGCCCAGTGCATGAAATTTGTGCACTGGTAGGGTCCCTGGCTGCCGCCTGCCACCTGCCACCACCACTGGGGCCCTTCCACTGGCTGGCCCTGCTTCCTGGTCAAACTCCCAGATGAGCTCTTGGTAGAGGGGACAATTTGCATATTATGTTTTTATTATATAGGAAGGATGGGTGAAAATGGACTGCAGAGTCCTTTAGAACAGTACTGCTCAAACTTTCATGTGCATGTACACCCCGTGGGGACCTGGTGAAAGATGCAGGTTCCGATTTGATAGGTCTGCATTGGAGTCTGAAATTCTGCATTTCTCACAAGCTTGCAGCTAATGCTGCTGATGCCAGTCCCAGACCACCCTTTGAGTAGCAAGAATCTGGAAAATGACAGCTCTTTTGTCAGTCGGCTCTTATGATGGAGGCATTCTGTTTTTCTTTGATCTGCTTATTATTCAGTAAAAAAAAAATTCAGAGGACTCAGTGCATTTTCAACAAAAAGTTAATGTTTTATTTAGAATATCATTTTAGAGACAAAAAGCAGTTCACTTTGGCTAGCAAAATAAACTTAACAAAAGCATTTAAATAATGTAAATCAAGTACTTTAGTAGATTTTTTTTCTTAGTTACTTGCTTTTTTGTCTTATTACTTGTGCAGTTTCTGTCTTTTAGCCTAACTGGGTTCTTTCTAAGTTAATGCAGCTTTAATCCAAGGAACTACTTAATGAAATCGGAATGACTCAAATATTCCTCTGTATTCTCATTCAACTTCACTGTATTCAATGAAACACAAGGAAAACAACTTAGGGAAGTAGATTCAGAAGGAAAATCTTTCTCCCTCTTGGTCACGTTATCTTTTCAACAGAGACCTTGCCTGCTCTGAAATGGATGTTGAAAGTAAATTGTTATTGGGAGGTGATGATCAAAAGCAAACTTAGATGATTTTCACACCATCTATCATCATGACCTAAAGGGAAAGGCAAGCCACATCACTTGCCTAGTCAAGCCACTGCTTGACACAGAAGCTGCACATAGCTTCCTATTGTTATTATATTTTCTAGTTATGTACATTAAAAAAATACAACATTGTGTTAAATAGCAGGACAGCTCACAGCGAACATACAACACTACACTGACAAACCAAAACAGCTTGGTTAAGCCGAGGAGAGAAACAGCAGGTGGTCTTCATGGAGGGAAGCTGCCAATGCCCACCATCTCCTTAGTCCGTAACGGATCTGACTTCTGAGGGGAGGCCTTCCGACTTCCGCCACTGGGCCAGGCGCTGCTTAAACCATTTCTGGAGGAGTGAAATGTGAAAAATTACCTGTCACATACTGAAAAAAATGATGTCCATTCCCTTCTAAAAGATGGCCTCTGTGGTCCAAATAGAAAGGAGGATTGCCTGGCCAGGGTTGCTCAGTGGTTGAGCATCAACCTATGAACCAGTGGTTGAGCATCAACCTATGCACATAATTCCCAGTCAGGCCACATAACTAGGTTGTGGGTTCAATATCTAGTTGGGGCACATATGGGGGGAAATCAATCGATGTTCCTTTCTCACATAAATGTTTCTCTTTCTCCCTTTTTCTCTTCTCTAAATCATTAAAATATAACTTTGGGTGAGGATTTAAAAAACAAAACAAAACAAAACAAAAACTTGGAAGAGGGACTAGTGAGAAATAGAAGCAGCAAGCATTGATGGACCTGGGAGAGGATGAGTTAGAGGACTCTATGGGGAGTCAGACTTTATTCTCCGTGGTCCTTCCCAACCTTTCACACACCATGGTGTACATTTAGAATGCTGATATTTTCATGTCCCGCTGCTTGGGTAGATGACCACCTGGGGCCCTGCAGTCCCGCGTCCTGCCAACAGGAAGCTCTATTGTAACCAATTGGCTATGAGAACTTGAGGAAGTTTCTAAAAATAGAGCACCTGTCAGCTCAACTATAAAAGAGGTAAGCTCAAGGGGTCGAAGTTGTCCCTTCAGGGATTTCTAGAATTTACCTGTTCTAGGGGTAAGCAGATGAGGGGACAGAAGGGGAGCAGAAAGAGCACAGCTATGGGATGCTAGACCTGGACTGTGCTGATGGAAATGTTGTGAGAAATAAATCGGGGGTTCTGACTTAGCAGAGATGGACACCTGCCCAGCTGCACATGTAACCTCAGAACCAACAGTCAGGCTCTAGGGCTGTGCTGGGGAAGATGCCATCTCTGCAGAGATCGAGGGAACTGCAAGGCAGTTTGGCATAAGCTCAAGATCAGAAGAAAGGGTGAGAACCACAGGAGAAGGAGTGTTTCTAAGGATCAAGGTCTGTGGAGATAGAAGGGAGGGAGGCCGCGGGACACTTCAGGGCTCTGCACCACCAATGCTAGGTTGGCTGCCCAGCATGGGACCATACCTGCGACTCCCCCTACCTGTACAACAGAGTTTACACACTGAAATGCTGTACACAGCTGTTAAGGTCAGTTGTCTTATACACCTTGGCACTGTGGGGTGGCAACGAGAAAAGTCCTATAAAGCCAGGGACAGCAGACTACCCACCCGTAGGGAAGCCTTACTTTTGGGGGCTGCTCTCTGGGTGCTATATTTCACTCCTGGGGATAACGAACCTTAAGGAGAAGAGAGAGCTCATGTGACGTTGGTGGCTTTAACCAAAGTTCTATTGCTAAAGGTGGGCACCAATTTCTTCTATAATCTGTGTGTGTTTAGTTAACTCTGAAATCTGGTGTGAGGGCAGCATGGCTCCAGCTTCATTAATGAGGTAGCTCTATGGGGGTTTTCAAGGCTACTAGGTCTGGTTCAATAGGATTTCCAGTTGCCAGAGCTGAACAAAGGGCAGAGTTTTAAATACTAATTAAAACTTGGAGGAGGAAAGTCTCGTTTTTATCAGGATTCACTTAGGACAAAATGAGTGAGCTGGCTTCATTCAGAAGAGCCACCCACATCTTGACACTGTTCGTGAGGCAGAATATTAATGTACAGCTACCGAAAATAACCTGCAAGGACCACAGCTGTGAATTGGTGAGATGGCATCTAGATGCTTAACCAACGGAACCCTCACATCAGGGGATGGGACAAAGTTCAAGAAAAGCTCGACTATTTTCTAAAGATATATATTGTAAACCAAGTATCTCTCTATATAAAAGGCTAATATGCCCTGACCGGTTTAGCTCAGTGGATAGAGCGTCGGCCTACGGACTGAAGGGTCCCGGGTTCGATTCTGGTCAAGGGCATGTACCTTGGTTGCAGGCACATCCCCAGTAGGGGGTGTGCAGGAGGCAGCTGATCGATGTTTCTAACTCTCTATCCCTCTCCCTTCCTCTCTGTAAAAAATCAATAAAATATATATATTTTTAAAAAGGCTAATATGCAAAGTGTCTCCTCAGAAGCTCAACCGGGAGACTGGGAGTTTGATCGCTCACTATGACGTGCACTGACCACCAAGAGGCGGTGCAGAATGAAGCAAGGCCCTGGCCTGCAGCTGGCAGCCGGCAGCTGGGGAAGCAAGGCCCCAATCGGCCCTGATCACTGGCCAGGCCTAGGGACCCTACCTGTGCATAAATTGCATGCACTGGGTCTCTAGTGTATATAATAAGTTAGCAAAGCAGTTGTTGTCCAACAAAAACCACCCAACACCTTGCTTGCTTTTCCCTCCTGTAGAGCTGAATCTTTCCACATCTCACTCACATCAGTACTAATTTTCCACCTGGCTCTTCATTGTTTCAGTCATCCCCTGGGAAAGACATTCATCCCTCGCTTGCTTATAAATGAATGCCCTCATTACCCTCACCCATTGATGGAGATTTATTTACTCCAAGTGAACAGATGATAATTAGACACTGTGATAGGGAGGGGCTGAGGCAAAATAACATTGTTCCTGTCCTTTTCTCTAGTAACTAACATTTCATCCCTTTCAGGGGGAGACCTTTAGAGGTCTTTATTCCACTGGTAAAACGTCTACAACTAGAAACCACTGAGTTCTGGAAATAGTCCCAGGACACGAAGAGCAGATAAAAATACTGGAAACCTCTCTGAGAACCAGTGCCAGCTACACTGGGCTCGAGTTAGTGATAATAGAAAACGCCAGATCATGGCGACCTCCCAAGGGGCTGATGAAAGAGCTTTCCCAGAGGCTCCTAACACTGACTTCAAAACAATGGAAGACACAGGGGTCGGCATTCTGTCAGGTTTATCTCATTTAAATGTAGGAGATATCAAATTACTGCCATGAGAAAAACCTATTCTATTCAGAAAACGCAACTTAAAAAGTTATTTCCATTAGGTCACCCTTCACGTCATTCTGGGTTCCCATAGGCGCCCCCTCCCACAGCAGAGGACATTGTCCTGCAGTGGGACAGCTAGTAAGAGGTCATCAAAGCCCCCAGTCAGAGAATGTGGCACCTTTTAGCCCCTCGTGCCCCTGCCGGATCATCAGCAATGGTTATTGTCTCACAGGAGCATCTCCTGTTTATTTTTTCTACTGACGCATAACTTGTTCTATGAAAATAAATAATATGGTTCAAATTCTGGAGGTGGGGGTGTCAGGGATGAGGCAATCAGAATATGAAGTAAAAATTATTTTGGTGCCCTTTATTAGTGGTGTAAAGGGGCAACACTAATAAAGAATGGAAACTGGGTGTGCTGACACCCCGCTTATGGGGAGGCCTAGCACACCTGGCCTCCAGGAGTTATTTAAAGGGCCCCTGCAAAGCCTGCTATAAATAAAAATGTTATTTATGTCTGAAAGTTCATCATTGGCATAATATCTCCAGAAGACACTTTAAAAATAAAAGATACTTTAAAAATGTAAATACTGTTTGAAAGATTAAAGATGAGATCATTCTCACATGCCAGTGCTCACTGGGGTCGAAGGGGGCAGGAGGGTGGGGGTGGAAAGAATGGGGAGTTGGAAGATGAGCCCCCACCTGAGGGGGGATGACAGAGGGATATCTTGGAAGCCTCTTCCCCCAACTTGCTGTTGCCTCTCTCTGAGCTCTGGGCTCTCAGCTGCTTCCCTGCGGGTCTAAAAAGGAAGGCAGAGAGAGGCAGGCCCAGCTATGGCAGCCCGGGGAGGAAGAGGTGTTGCCCCCATGGCAGGAAAAGGAAGCCAGGGGCCCTGCTGTGAGGCTGACTCACCCCCACACCCACTCGTTTCAGGGCTGGGTCTACCATCTGTTCATTGGAGGGAGGTAGAAGAGAGGAAATGGGAGAAGGGGCAGATGCACCTGCTGTGCAGGGGTCTCCATTGGCTGACCTCAACCACAAAGAAGCAGGTGCCCTTTCTTCCTGGCCCGCGCTTGATTTCATGTCAGTTCTGTAATATAAGGTGAATCTTGAGGAAAGATTGAATATAGCTGGGATGGCTGTCATTTAATGCATGGATTTTACTCAGGAAGAAATATAAATTGAATTTCAGTCTTTTCCTCCCAGCCCCCTTAGGTGTCTGCGTTCCTCCTCTGTGGAGACAACATAGCATCCTGGTTAGGAATCTGGATGGTGCCCCAGACTGCCAGGGTTCCAATCCTAGCTCTGCTGCTTAGTTGTGTTCTTGAGCAAATTATTTAACCGTTCTGGCCTTGGGTCCCTTCCCTGAACAACAGGGCGAATAGTTGTGACAAATACGCGCTGTAATAGTTGGAGGGTGCATGGAACAACACCTGGCAAGTTTCAGCCATTACAAAGGTCAACGTAATTATTCTGCCTTACAGGTAAGGGGATGATGGTAATTCACTATGGGAGTATCAGAGGCTGAGAAGAACTTAGACCCCCAGCTGGTGCGGTGCCCACAATAAATCCACAACATTCTCTTTAAACGATGAGTAATCACTGTCTCTGTGATGACTCTTCTTTTCTAAATATAGCATGGGATTTTAAATAATAAAACTTCAGCAGGCCACCTCCTCACGGGTTCCAAGAAACAGGAGCTGTGAGACTTGGGTTACAGCAAATCACCTTCTCCTAAGTCCTGCTGTTCCCTTTGCTAAAACAGGTATGCTTGGCTTTCTATTTGACTTAGGAGTGAAAGGATTTTCTAGAAGCAAGTTGTCCAAAGTGTGCCTGGCTCAATTCATAAAAATCATTTTGGAGTTGGGGTGGAGGGTCTTAGTCCATCACAAGCTTTGAAGCCTCATGTGAGTATGGTTCGTGGAGAGGAGAGGCCGTCCGATGCTCTGGTGTGTGCAATGGGAGGAACAAGAACATCTCTGCTTTAGAGCTGAGGCTAGAGGTGCGAAGTGCTTTGGGCTTCCGTGGGAGAGGTGCTAGATTAGAGCAGCTCCAAGCAGTACGCATCATGCATCACCCATCGTCTTTCCATGACCAAAGGGAAAATAAAGTCAGAGTTACCAAATAACACTGCACCTGGAGGTTAACAATCACGGATAGTGTTTCATTCTCTATCCTAAACAATTTTCGGGATAATGTAGGAGGCTTTAAAAATAGATTTAAAAATCCACGCATTGAAGGGACATCTGCTCCCACCCCCTAAAAGATTACACCTGAGAGCCCGGGAGTTTTCAGATCTGCGAACCAAAGCTCCCCGGCTGTGAGCAACCTCAGCTCTGCGGCTCCGGGGAAGCTGGAAGGCGACCGCGTGGAGCTAAGGACCCTGCCGTCCTGGCAAGCCCCGCTCTCTGGGCCTCAGTTTCCTCCTTTGTCAACCCTGAGGACTGAGTTTATTGCTGATCTCCAAGGTCCCCTCCAGCTCTGACACGGCCGCGGAGAGATTTGGGGGCGCCGGGCTCAGAGCGCAGGCGGCACCTCAGGAAGGGCGCCCAGGGGAGAAACTGAGCCCGGGCAAGCGAGGCCGGAGCGGACGGGGCTCCTCCCAACCCGGAGAAAGGAGAGAGCTCATCCCGGGCAACAGAGGAGAGTGAAAGAAGGACGAACGTGAGATTTCTAAGCAGCTCCTGGGGAGCCCCCGCGGGCTAGGGATAGAGGGGTACACGGGTGGGGAGAGGGGGCGCCAGGGAGCCGGGAAGGCGGGGTGCGGCGGCAGGAGCGATGCAGAATCGGGGCTCCCGGGAACCGGCCCCGGAGCGCGTGCAAGAGCGATGAGGGATCGGGGAGGGCGGCGAGGCGAGGGCGAGGGGCACCGTGATATTCGCGTGGGTGGCGCGCGGTCCGGGGACGGGGTCCCCCGGGCGGGGGTCCGGGAGCGCGGGGCGCGGGGCCTCACCTGCGTCTCCTCCTCGGAAAGGCCGGCCTCGGCCGCGATGAGCAGCAGCGTGGTGGGGTCCGGGTGCTTGTTGACCTTGTTGAAGTTGTACTCCAGGATCTCCACCTGGTCCTGCGTGGGGCCGCTCGCGGTCTCCGCCGACATGGTCCCG